GTCTTTCGATCGGGATGAATCTTCACCAATGTTAGTCCTATTGGATAGTAGTTTAGACACAATTTTCCAACAAGAACGGTCAAAAATTTTCTGAGTTACAGTGGGTTAAAGTTTGAATTTTTTGACGAATATGTGTTTCTTTTTATACCCACAATCAAAAAGATGGAGATATATTGATTTTGTCATTCCGTGTGTAACACATCGAAATATTGTTCACATAAAGTATATATGTATATTCTGAGACCTCGTAAGATTCTAAGACGATCTAGCTATGTCCGTCCATCTGTCTATTGTTAGCGTCCACAAAAAAAACAAAAAGATAGCAAGATGAAAATTTTCCCAAAATATTCTTTATTGATCAGAAATGTTTGGTATTGAAAATGGGTAAAATTGGCCAACGATTTCACATAGCCCCGATACAATTGAGACACCCCCCCCCCCCCCCCCCGGATTGTTGTGTAAAAAGCTTCAAACATTCAAACATTCGTTGATTATGAAGCAAATGTAGCAAAATTTCGCATAAGTCAATTTTTTGTCTCCTGAAATTAAATTCTGAATTATGGCAGACATAGGAATATAGTTGGCCCTACCACCCTATATAAGAACCCCTTCAAAAATTGTTATAATGATAATTTGAGGCTAAAAAATAAACCTACAGCAATATAATTCCACATAAACAGGTTTTATAGGCACCGAAATCTTTGTACCAAATTTTAAGAGGATCCATGTCCATGATTGACCCTACCTCCATATAAGGTACCTTGTACAAATTACTATAACACTCATTACCGTCTTAATAATAACAGTATGGTGAGGATATTCGCCATAAACAAGTTTTGTACGATCCCAAACTTCTCTACTAAATTTTGTGGGGATCGATCCATAATTGACATACTTATGTGTATGTCTTATATAAACCAGATTTTATGAGGATCAGTCCATAATCAGTGTAATAATATAATTATACTTCTTATATTCTCATCTTAAATGTAAATTTCCTAATTTAAATATATTCAACTAAGTTTTTATAGTAAATCTTCTTATGTTTGTAAATAATTATTTTTTGTTTAATGTATTTTTCTCTGTTTAATTTTTTAGAGTGAAACCTTTAAATATATCACCACCAGCAACTTTAATAAAATTTTGGAACAATGATCATCAACAAAAAATTTGTTAAAATCAGTCTTTGAATAGCAGCCTTAATATGAGCATGATATTGTGACGTCATCATCAATTTTTTTTTTAAATCCAATTTGAAGTAAAATTTTTATTTTTTTAGACAAAAAAAATTAACACAAAATATGGTAATTAGATTTAAGTATTTAAAATATTAATTAATTACTGCTTTATTTATAACAATATATCAAAGGTTTATAGAACAAATTTTTTTTATGAAAATTTGTCTTATAAACCTTTAATAAATTGTTATGAATAAGGCCTTTAGTATGTATTTAAGATGAGTTTCAAAAGTTTTTGTTAAAAACTGAAAAGTTTCTATAATAATTTGTTAATGGATTACTTCATAACTTCAATTGACTAAGATTATAGAAATAGTTTGAAAATGTTTCCAGCTGTAGTGGCATTTCAGAATTCTTTTAACATTCTTAGGGCTCAACTGTATATTTGAAGTTGATCGGGATGATCAATTTAAATTTATTATAACATTTATCAATAATCCTTTCAGTGGCTGGTATTTATTAAGGTTTCATCCAAATTTCGGTGTGTTTGTGCAATTTTAGTCTCTATTTATATACTACAAATGGTGCGTAGTATGAATGTTTCTGAGCACATTTGTAATAGGTGAAACCATATAGTAATCCTTTGAGGTTTCTTCTTTATATTTGTCACATATTCTATATGGTATTATTTTTTATATTTGTCACACACTCTATACGGTCCTAAAATTTGATTTCCTTTTACAACAAACAAACAAATACATTGATGCTTATATATGTATGTCATGTCACAAATATTTCAATACCTTTTAAATCTAGATGGAATTTTAAATATTCAAAATTTAATATCATACATTTCCATCGCTATTAATTCAGCTATAATAGACCTTTTGCCAATTCTACAGGATCTTTCGTTGGCAGCCACAAATTCTTATTTAGATTGTCTTTAATAAGTTCAATTTGTTTTTTTAACTTTCTTATCGGAAGAATTCCATTGAGAAAATTTCCTTTAACATTGAAGGAGATCATTTCGAATTCTTTCTAGTACCTCTAATGTCGAAAGAATATTGGCTGTGGCTGCAATTCTAGCAGCTTCATCTTTAGTTTCATGGATTTCACCTTCCAATACTTTTATAGCTCCACTCAGCTTTGTTATGTCTTTAAAGACCGCTTTGTTTTGCTTTCGTATGATTTCCATTGTCATATCTTACGCTGAAGATAAATTTCTAACAATGTTCAGCAAATACTCGTCTTTCGCAATTGTTGAATACATCAGACACAAAAGACACAAAAAAGAATAAGTCCGTTCAGTTTTAGGGTATATAGAGAACTCTCAAATTTATTTACAATTTACTTATATTTATAATATTCAAATCTAACATAAAATTCTTATCAACTATAAAACGATGCATGTGGAATATTCTAATCAGAAAACATTCTAATCATAAATGATGTATTTAATGTATGGTCATAAATAACCCACATTTACAATGCCTGTGCATGTATTGCACGATCAGTCTATGCTCTGATCGTGTGTTCGTTAACATAAACATTAACGATCAAGCATCCGACATAAAGCATTGAATTTATTTTATTGATTTGGGCAAATACATAAAACTTCTAATTTATTGATAAGTTTTATTACCCGTATAATCTAAACACGCATTTCTATTCCACATGCATAGTTTTCTATTTTAAATATAAAAATTCAATCTACAAGATTGAACAATCCTTTTTAAAGGATTTATATATATTTTATTTTTTTCACTTTATTTATTTTATTATCCTTTTTTAAAGGATTTATATATATTTTTATTTTTTTAAACACACAATATTTTTTTTTAAACTTACGGCGCGTGCACAAAAAGAACTTGGGGTCACCAAATGTTAATGTGACAAAGGAAAAACGACCGATCTTGTTTAAGGTTGATAGAGAACTAAAAAAAATTATTTACAAAAATTCTCTCAAATATATAAAATATATATAATATATAAATATATATTTACAAATATATAACATTTACTATCAAGCATCTGGCATAAAACATTAGACCTTAAATTTATGATATTGATTTGGGAAAATACATAAAACTTCTAATTTATTGTTACATTCTATTGTTTGTATAATTAAAAAATCCCCTTCTATTCTACATGCATAGTTTTCTATTTTAAATATAAAAGCTTAATCTATAAGATTGAACAATCTAAACTCTAAAATAAAAGAAATGAACCATGAACCAGAAGGTATTTTAAATCTCAATATTTTTTAAAAATTATTTTACATATCTTAAGCAATAGTATGAATCTACAATTCTAAGGATGGTAAATTTTCTAAAATGAAAAATAGTACATCTACATGAATCTGGTCCCTGTTCACAGCTAACGTTGGACCACGGACAGCACTGGAAATGACTTCCATAGTAATCATCTTCTCCTTCCATTACTCCAAATTCCTCATTTTCGTCGAGCATGTGATTGAAAAAGTTCATTATCTGTCAATGATCTGGTCCCTGTTCACAGCTATCGTTGGACCACGGACAGCACTGGAAATGACTTCCATAGTTATCATCCTCTCCTTCCATTACTTCAAATTCCTCATTTTCATCGAGCATGTGAATGAAAAAGCTCATTATCTTTCAATCATTTTCATCGAGAAAAAGTTCATCATCTATCGATGCTCATACAACATGGATGTGTGGAAATTTTCCACGAATTTATTTATTATCTCTCTCTAAGACAACTCATATTTGACGGTTTGAAAATATTTGATAAAATTTTTCGAATATATCTTCTCTTTATTAATATATTTTATTTTCCTTCCTTAAGATTGAGGAGTATATATAGTGATATCAAAATAAAATTTTCTCTCGGGATATATAATTCGTTTGTTTTCTCTCACATTATATTTTAAAATAAAATTAAAACAAATCAAGTTTTGTGTTTGTTATTTTTAACATCTCATCCCAAGATAGACCAGGTGCTGTATAATAGTGGCATGTGTCTAAATTGTAAATACCTTTACAGACTTTTCCAAAATTTTCGAAAACATCTGCTAATAGTAAGACATCACTTTTTAAGTACAACATTAAATAATCTTCCAATGTTTTACATTAAAATTTTTTTCAAACTTTCTGCGCATGCGCATTATCTTCTGGAGAACATGATGTCTCAGTAAATTTGTTATTAAAAATTAATTATGTTGGATAAACGATCTTCTTTAAGTTTTTCTATTGAATTAAGGTAACTATATGGAAAGACTCCCTTCCTAATTAATAAATTAAACTTTGTTTCTACTTTACCACAATTTTTTTTGTTCGCCTCCAATTTCTCCTCATTATGGAAATGTTGTGAACAATCATTACACATTATCAGACTTCCTTCAAACTTTGTGGTTTGCGAACGAATTAATCTGAAATTAAATTATAATAAAACTAATTAAAGAACTATAATAATTTTTACTTTCACTATTAAACTTACCTTGACATATTTTTAATCCACACATAGTGCGATTCATCTCCACTAGGTGCTTGCAAAAACAATAAATTTATGTGTTTGGTCTTTTCTTTCATTGTTTTGTAGTGTGGTCCAACCACTAAATCGCTTTTACAATCATACCCAAAAACATTTATACTAAATGTTGGATTGTTGGTTTCAAATATTTTAATGTCTTTTATTTTTACTTGAAAGCATATCCCATTAATATTTAAATTGTAACCATTTAGGCTTATTAGTTTAGATGAAATATTTATTTTTTATTTTGCAAACATACCGGATCTAATCTGAGTCAACTCAAAACTATTGTAAAGTATGTTTTATTTAATATTTTTATCTTAGACCACCATCCAGATGCCTATGGTCTACAATTTGCAAAACATTAAAATTATTCCTATGATTTATTTTACCAAACTCTTGAGCTGTAATAACCTTAGCAGACTTTCTTATTTCTGGTATCTCACACTTTTCAAAAATCCTTGAAATATATGGCTCCTTTTTCAATAAGAATTTAGGACCATTAAACCAAAATTTATTTTCTACTATTTCCTTGACCAATAATCCTCTTGAAATAAGATCTGCTGGATTATCTTCTGAGCTGACATGTTTCCATTTATTTATGTTACTATTTGCCTGTATAAAGCTTACTCTATTTGAAACAAATATCTGCAAACGTGCGGGATCTAATCTAAGACAACTCAAAACTATTGTTGAATCGCTATAGTAGAAAATGTCATTGAATGCTATCTTAAAGCTATCGACTACTACTTTTATTAGCTCAACTAATAACACCCCTGCACATAATTCCAATCTTGGCAGTGAAAGTATTTTAATAGGAGCTATTCTTGATTTAGATGCAGCTAAATGACAGTAAACTATCCCATTGCTGTCTATGAACCTTACATAGACTGCTGCCCCATATGCCTTCATGGATGCATCACAAAATCCATGAACTTCTATTTGTGTTGGTTTGACACAAATAATAAGTCTTGGAACGTTTACTTCATTGAGAAATTTGAAATTGTCTTTAATTTTAATCCAATTTTCAGTCATTTGCTCTGGGACGTTATCATCCCAATCAAGTTTTAACTTCCATAAATCTTGGAGCAACATCTTTGTTGTCACCGTTACTGATCCTATTAAACCTAGTGGGTCAAATAACTTAGCAACTTCGCTTAAAATTGTGCGTTTTGAAATTTTATTATGAAATTCCAATTTACATTTCAAACTAAATCTGTCTGTTTTTGGGTTCCATACAATCCCCAATGTTTTAACAGAATTCAAATTATTTGATTCTATATTTAAATCATTTTCTATATAACTGGGATCAATACCTTGGAGCAATACTTTTTCGTTAGTACACCATTTCCTTAAAGGCATACCGTACTCCATCAATATATTGTCAATATTTTCTCTAACTCGTTTTAATGATTCTATACAATCTCCTCCAGTCATCAAATCGTCCATGTAAAAATCATTCCTAATTACGTCTGATTCAATTGAAAAATTGTCTTCTTTACAATCTGTAATCTTTTGTAAACATTTTACTGCTAAATATGGAGCCGAAGCTGTTCCATATGTAACAGTTTTAAGAGCATATGTTTTAATAGTTTCCTCTGGATTCCAGCGCCAAAATATTAACTGATATTTTCTGTCAGCTTCAGAAATCCAGATTTGTCTATACACTTTTTCAATATCAGCTGAAAAAACATAACGATGTTTTCTAAATCTTAATAAAATCTTAAAAAGATCTTCTTGCAGCCTAGGACCAGTATGTAAAATATCATTTAGCGAAACATTAGTTGTTGTCTTACAAGACGCATCAAATACAACTCTTAACTTAGTTGTTGTACTCTCTGGCCTAAGTACACAATGATGTGGTAAATAATACCCACTATTCATAAACGAATTAATATTTATCAATTCCATATGACCCATTTCCAAATATTTTTAAGAAATTCATTATATTCCAGTCTAAGTTCTTTGTTTTTCTCTAATTTTCTTTCTAGAGCAAATAACCTTCTTTTAGCTATTATGGTAGAATTATCCAATTTATTCTGTTCATCTTTAAATGGAAGTTTAACTTCAAACTTACCATCTGTAAGTCTTTTAAAGTTTTCTTCAAAATGTTGCTCACATTGCTTTTCCGCAACTGTGAGATTATTCATTTTTGGAATCTCATCCAATTCCCAAAACTTTTGTAACAATTCATCACAAGATGTTTGAATTGTTGTGACCACACTTGATTCTGGTTTGGAACCATTTGCTATCATCAGTCCATATGCTACCCAACCTAACTTCGTGTTACGTAGCTTTGTGTTTGTCTTTTTATCAATTATTTGCCCATCGCAAATCAGATCAAACACAAATTGATTAGATAGTAATAAATCCACTCCTTGTGGAATATTATATTTGGGATCCGCTAATTTAATATTAGATGGTACGTTCCTGGTACGCTTGACATAAATTTGTCAATAACTACCGCATTTAGGAACGTTTTAAATTGGGTCACTTTTGACCTAAGTGATATCCTTACCTAAGTGATATCCTTACCTTTTCCTCTATGGAAGATTTTTTCCTTTCTAAACCTTCCACTTCTTTGTTTATTTGGCAACCTTTCATATTCAACTTATTTGTCCCATTTTGCATTTATAGATAAGTTCCTAAATTTGGAATATCTGTTTAAATTATGTCCAACTGCACAATTCAGTGGACATTTTATTTTAAATGAATTCGTTGGAGGATTTGTCTTATGACTTGCCCCTTGTGTTTGCATGTTTTGTCGGGGAGGATTTACCACATTTTGGTTTGCCTCCCAAGACCATTGATTTACTACCAGAAGATTTACCATCTTTCTTTCACCCTTTGTCAAATCTTTTTTTTCCCGCTTCTCCTGACAACTTCGCTTTTAACATACACATTTTTTGAGTATTTGACACAGGCTGATCTATTATCAGCTGCTCAAACAACTCTCTAAATTTGTCCCATTCCGTAGCTTTTCCACAAAAAGTTGGTATGTCTATAGTGGGCAGCTGGAATGGTAATGTTTTGGCATAGCTTTCTATGCCCGGGATATTTTGGTATTCGTCACGTAAATTGTAGAAAATGTCAGTCAATTCGTCATCTGGAAATTCGCCCATATATTTAATAAATTGATTTTCGGCTAATTTAAATTTTTCTTTAAGAATGTCAATCGTGACTTCCTTATTTTTAAATTTATTCAATTTAGCTTCCAAATCATCCAAAATATACTGGAACTGCCGAATCAGTCCAGCATTTTTATTTCTGACAGAGGTTTTTTCCATATCACCTCTGCCAGAATTTATTAAACCTTGCTCTCTTTGAAGCAAAAATGGTACACCAGGCTCCTTTTGCCACATTGGGTCAGTAAGATCCCTTTGTAACATTGGTGCCGTGGATTCCTTTTGTGACAATGGTATCGTAGCCTCCTTTTGGCACACTAGATCAGTACGATCCCCTTGTGCCATTTGAGCCGTGGGTTCCCTTTGCCTATCCATTGTATCATCATCTTGTTCTTTATTCGATGGTGTCAAAAGATTTTCTTCCTCAATAAATCTCTTTTTTAATTGCCCATACAAAGCATTAAAATTATTTATTGAGGCCCTCACTTCATCAACAAAATTACCTTTAAAATAGGCATTTCTTTGCATTGTTGACGAAAGAGGGCGGAGATCTCTATCATTTTTGTCGAAACTTTCGACATATTCCCTAAACACTTGTCTCAATGTTATAACTTTAATTTTTGCTTCCTCGCTAGGAAGATTACTTTGAGCGACCTTGCTCAAAGAGTTATAACATGAGACAATCTCAGTCCCTAATCTCTCCTGTTCTTTTATAATAGATACAGGGTCCATTCTTATTTATATATGTGTAATTGCAGAATAAAAAGGAAAATATGAATGTGTATATGTATAATAAAATAAATATAATAGCTGTAATAAAAATAAGATTTGCTGAAACAAATATAAACAAAATAAAAAATAACGCACTTCCAATTTTTTTTTTTTTTTTCAAAATGAATATAATAATAAATAGCGCACTTCCCGAATTTTTTTTAAAATCGATTCCTGATTTCAATTTGTTGTTGCTTTTTATAAAAACAATGTTCAAAATAATACTTAAAATTTTCTTTAATAAGTATTATTTTGAATTTTCAACAAATTATTGTCAATCAGTCGTGTTATTTTCTTTATATATAAAACATAAGTAAAATACACTGAATGATATATAGAAAAAAATATATTATTCTTTTTCTTAACGACCGCGAAAAAAGAAACCCATATAAAAAACTTAGGAAAAATTACTTACCTTCTCAGCAACTTTTTTTTTATTTTTCTTTGTTTTTATTTTCATATTTATATTTTATTTATATTATTACGCGCTCGGGTTTTTTAATATTATTATTAATTTATTTATTTCACTTTTTTATTTTATTTATTAATTTCTTTTTTTTTTACACATATATTTTATTTTACTTTTTATATATATATATATATATATATATATATATATATATATATATATATATATATATATATATATATATATATATATAACATATATATTTTTAACTTTTTTTTATAAAATTTTCACTCTTTTTTTATATATATATTTTCCTTTCTTTTTTTAAGGAATTTTATTTTATTTTTTTTTTTTTTTTATATACGGCGCGTGAAAAATAACTTGGGGTCACCAAATGTTGAGCACAACAGAAAAAGAAAACGACCGTTCGGTTTTAGGGTATATAGAGAACTCTCAGATTTATTTACAATTTACTTATATTTATAATATTAAAATCTAACATAAAATTCTTATCAACTATAAAACAATGCATGTGGAATATTCTAATCAGAAAACATTCTAATCATAAATTATGTATTTAATGTATGGTCATAAAACAACCCGTATTAACAATGCTTGTGTGCATTTGATGCATCCACCAGTCTATGCTCTGATCGTGTGTTCGTTTCACATAAACATTTACAATCAAGCATCTGACATAATGCATTAAACATTGAAACTATGTTATTGATTTTGGGCAAATTACATAAAACTTCTAATTTATTGATACGTTTTATTAACCGTATAATCTAAACACGCATTTCTATTCCACATGCATAGTTTTCTATTTTAAATATAAAAATTCAAACTACAAGATTGAACAATCCTTTTTAAAGGATTTATATATATTTTTATTTTTTCACTTTATTTATTTTATTATCCTTTTTAAAGGATTTATATATATTTTTATTTTTTTAAACACACTATATTTTTTTTTTTTAAACTTACGGTGCGTGCACAAAAAAAACTTGGGGTCACCAAATGTTAATGTGACTAAGGAAAAGAAAGGAAAAACGACCGATCTTGTTTAAGGTTGATAGAGAACTAAAAAAAATTATTTACAAAAATTCTTTAAAATATATAAAATATATATAATATTAATATATAAATATTAATATATAAATATATATTTACAAATATATAACATTTACTATCAAGCATCTGGAATAAAACATTAGACCTTAAATTTATGATATTGATTTGGGAAAATACATAAAACTTCTAATGTATTGTTACATTTTATTGTTTGTATAATTAAAAAATCCCTTTCTATTCCACATGCATAGTTTTCTATTTTAAATATAAAAGTTTAAACTATAAGATTGAACAATCTACACACTCTAAAACAATCTAAACTCTAAAATGAAAGAAATGAACCATGAACCAGAGGTATTTTAAATCTCAATATTTTTTAAAAATTATTTTACATTTCTTAAGCAATAATATGAATCTACAATTCTACGGATAGTAAATTTTCTAAAATGAAAAATAGTACATCTACATGAATCTGATCCCTGTTCACAGCTATCGTTAGACCATGGACAGCACTGGAAATGACTTCCATAGTTATCATCTTCTCCTTCCATTACTCCAAATTCCTCGTTTTCGTCGAGCATGTGAATGAAAAAGTTCATTATCTGTCAATGATCTGGTCCCTGTTCACAGCTATCGTTGGACCACGGGCAGCACTGGAAATTACTTCCATAGTTATCATCTTCTCCTTCCATTACTCCAAATTCCTCATTTTCGTCGAGCATGTGAATGAAAAAGTTCATTATCTGTCAATGATCTGGTCCCTGTTCACAGCTATCGTTAGACCATGGACAGCACTGCAAATGACTTCCATAGTTATCATCTTCTCCTTCCATTACTCCAAATTCCTCATTTTCGTCGAGCATGTGAATGAAAAAGTTCATTATCTGTCAATGATCTGGTCCCTGTTCACAGCTATCGTTGGACCACGGACAGCACTGCAAATGACTTCCATAGTTATCATCTTCTCCTTCCATTACTCCAAATTCCTCGTTTTCGTCGAGCATGTGAATGAAAAAGTTCATTATCTGTCAATGCTCTGGTCCCTGTTCACAGCTATCGTTGGACCACGGGCAGCACTGGAAATGACTTCCATAGTTATCATCTTCTCCTTCCATTACTTCAAATTCCTCATTTTCATCGAGCATGTGAACGAAAAAGTTCATCATCTATCGATGCTCATACAACATGGATGTGTGGAAATTTTTCACGAATTTATTTATTATCTCTCTCTAAGACAACTCATTTTTGACAGTTTGAAAATATTTGATAAAAATTTTCGAATATAACTTCTATTTATTAATATATTTTTTTTTCCTTCCTTAAGATTGAGGAGTATTTGTAGTGAAATATTTTTCAAACTTTCTGCGCATGCGCATTATCTTCTGGAGAACATGATGTCTCAGTTAATTTGTTAATAAAAATTAAATATGTTGGATAAACGATCTTCTTTATGTTTTTCTATTGAATTAAGTTAACTATATGGAAAGATTCCCTTCCTTATTAATAAATTAAACTTTGTTTCCTCTGAATATATGAAACTACTTTACCACAATTTTTTTTGTCTCATTATGGAAATGTTGTGAACAATCATTACACATTATCAGACTTCCTTCAAACTTTGTGGTTTGCGAACGAATTAATCTGAAATTAAATTATAATAAAACTAATTAAAGAACTGTAACAATTTTTATTTATATCCACTCGGTGCTTGCAAAAACAATAAATTTATGTGTTTGGACTTTTCTTTCATTGTGGTCCAACCACTAAATCGCTTTTACAATCATACCCAAAAACATTTATACTAAATGTTGGATTGTTGGTTTCAAATATTTTAATGTCTTTTATTTTTACTGGAAAGCATAACCCACAAAAATTTAAATTGTAACCATTTAGGCTTATTAGTTTAGATGAAATATTTATTTTGTATTTTGCAAACATACCGGGTCTAATCTAAGCCAACTCAAAACTATTGTAAAGTATGTTTACAATTATGGTCTACAATGCGCCAATTTCCGAATTACTTCGAAGAGCGCAAAGTCCCTATTCTATGAAAAGACGAGTCTTTGTATATGGTTTAACAAAGTCTAGTGTTATTTATATAATTTCGGGGTTTATATACTATATTTCAGTATCCCCTCTTGTTGAGCACAACAGAAAAATAAACGACCGTACGGTTTTAGGGTATATAGAGAACTCAATTTTATTTACAAATTTACTTATATTTATAATATTAAAACTAGCAGATTTGTAATAGGTGAAACTATATAGTAATCCTTTGAGGTTTCATGTAATCTTACAATTTCTATGGAGAGCTATGAATTTGTATCTGTTTAATTAGAGGAACTGCACTTTGTATATTCAAGTGTATTATGGAGTACAAATTTTTGGATCATTGATCAATGTTTCTTCCATCTTTTTTTATAATTTTCACATACTCTTTAAGGTCCCACAATTTGATTTTCTTTTACATCAAACCCAAATACATTGATGCTTATATGTGGATTTTATGTCTCAAATATTTCAATATTTTTTAAGTCTAGTTGAAATTTTATATATTCAAAATTTAATTTCATACCTTTTCGTCGCTTTTAATGCAGCTATAACAGATATGGATGATTTATATAACTCAATCTTCGAATTATACTATTCTGGTTTCAATTTATATTTTATTTCCAGTAACACCCATCAATTATCTCGATCCTGTAACTCATTATAGAGTGAGAACGGTTGATTGTAGTCATTTTTTTTCGATTTTCTCCATATCCTTACTTTTCTTAATATAAATGTATTCCAATTCGAAATTGCATTTAAAATTTATTTGTTTATCTATGGAATGTTTTAATATTTTTAAAATACCTTCTTCAGCTTTTTCAAAAAATCCCTCTAAATATAAAATTATTTATATACGGATCCTATAACGCCCAACAATTTTGTTAAAGCGAGAATAGTAAAACGACCGTTCGGTTTAAGGGTATATAGAGTACTCACAAGTTATAATGATAATCCACATTTGTAACTCATTATAGAGTGAGAACGGTTGATTGTAGTCTTTTTTTTTTTGATTTTCTTCATATCCTTACTTTTCTTAATGTAAATGTATTCCAATTCGAAATTGCATTTAAAATTTATTTGTTTATCTATGGAATGTTTTAATATTTTTAAAATACCTTCTTCAGCTTTTTCAAAAAATTCCTCTAAATATAAAATTATTTATACAAATTCCTTAGTAATTTAAGGTTCTGATATGGTTGCAAATAACTTTGATAGTTTTCATGCTATGACAGTCGTTTATGCAAGGCATTATAT